AGAAGGATAAGTTATCTAGTATTATAAGAATATTTAGATAGAAGAGAAAAGACCTATTTAATTAGAGTTAAAACTACTTAAAAATAGCTAAATATAAAAGAAAATAGCTAAATAAAGAAATCTTCTAGGCTTCTTTAACTTTATTAGCTTTCTTAATAGAAGTAATACTTAACTACCTTAGCCTCTACCTCTATCTTAAAGACTAGTAAGACTAGTAAGTTACTTATTCTAATATATCTTATTCTTTAGATTAAGTTCTTTATTATTATTATTTATTTTATTAGGGTAAAGAGCTTCTTTAAGCTTTAAAATTTTTCTATTAATAAGCTTAGAAAAATAAGTAAGATTCTTCTAAACTATTTAAAGTATAATAAAGTCTTTAAAGTTAGATATTAATATAGGCTAAGAGAGAATAGTACTATTAAAAGAATAGTTAAGATAATATTTCTTAAAGAGAATTAGAGATACTCTATTTAAAGTAAGATAATATTTATCTTTTAGATTACTAAGACTAGAAAAGATAGGGTTAGGCTAAAATAGATTTAAGTAAGAATTAGTAGTAATAGCTTCTATAGTAAAATCTATACTAGAAATAAAGAAATCTATAGTACTTAAAGTTAGAGTAATATCTAAGATTAGGGGACTACTACCTAGTATTAGAAAGATTAGGAGATTAGAGTATACTATCTTAGTCTAAGCTTTCTTTATAGTAGTATAATAATAATAAGTACTTAATATAGGAATAGAATTCTTTTTAGGACTACTTAATTAACTTAATCTAGTCTAATATTTTAGGTTAGTATTAGGTATAGGTAGAATAGCTTTACTTATAAAAAAAGAGGAGTAATAACTATAATAACTTAAGCTAGATTTAATAATAAGCTTAGAAGGAGTCTAATATAAAGTATTTAATTATTATTTAATAGATATATTAATAGTTTTATTTAGAGGTATATCTTATAAGGTAGGACTATTATTCTAAATCTTTAGTAGATTACTAGCTTATAGAATTATCCTATATAAATAAGTAACTATTAGTAAAAAGTTTAAAATAAAAAACTTATATATTATCTCTAGAATTCTACTACTTACTATAATCTAGGTAGAATTTATAATTTAAATCTTTTCTATACTATAGGTAATTTATATAAGTACCTTAAAATAAGGCTTAAGTTATACTATTTAAATTATACTTAGGAGATATAATATATTTAAGAAATATACTAGAGTCTATATATTACTTATAGCTAGGACCTATAGTGATACCTTACTAATAGAGAATAATAGCTAATTATTAAGATAGGTTAATAATTAGCTTAGTTAAAGATTTACTACTCTTACTATAAGATTATTTAATATTATATACTATATCTAGAAGGGTAATATAGGATCTATCTTACTTTATTAATAGGAAAAAGTACTTCTCTATTACCTACTTAATAGTACTATAATAATTAGGAATAAGTATCTTTAAATTAGAAATAAGAGTATAATAACTAAGGAGCTATAGAAGGTAAATATACTTTATAAAGAGGAGAGACTATAAAAGTCTATTAATCTAAATAAATAAAAGCTAAGCTAGGGGATTTAATATTAAGGTTTAGTTATAAAATATCTTATATATTAAGTAAGAAAAGTTAGGGGTATTTATATCTAGGTTATATATATTAGTAGTAAATACTTACTTATTTATCTATATTTATTAGTTAATTCTACCTTTATTAATTTAATTATTTATATATATATATAAATAATAATATTTACTATAATTCTTTATATAGTGCTTAAGGATTATTAATTACTTAGGTAACTTACTTATTAATATTACTAAGTAAGGTAATCTAATTATACCTCTTATATATTAAATAAAGAATATACTTAGCTACTACTATAGTGATTTTAAAATAATAGTATAAAGAATGATTTAGTTAATTCTATAGATTATTAATAAAGAAATAATAATATCTAAATACTAGATTTAGAATCTAATATCTCTTAGTAATAGTTATATTTATATGGTCATGCTGATAGGTGCTAACTAAGAACTCTATAGATAAAGTTTAATTTAAGTAGGGGAGGATATGATATTAATAGTAGGTATATAGCTTTAGGGAAGCTATATTAGGGGTGTAATGATATCTAGTAACTAATATTACTATTTATATAGTTAGTTAGACCTTATATTTATTCTTAGCTTAGGTTAAAATATAAAAGATAGCTAGAATCCCTTAAAGTAAAGAAGATATATATAGGGTGGCTGCTGGCCTATCTCCTACCCTTATACTCTTTGAAGACTCCATGTCCTTAATGATGATGAATATCCCAGTATATTAATGATTTAATTCTCTTAATAAGAGATTAAATAAGATTCTAGTAATAAGAGAACTTAGTAATAAGAAAAAGGGGAATATAATAATTAAATACTATAACTAATTAAAAGATTAAAAAAATTATAATTTTATGAAATTAAAGAATATAAAGAAGAAGAGGTTCTGTAAGGCTAAGAAGTATTCTTATTAATAATTTAATACTACTACTATATAACCTTCCTATTAGTAATATTTAATAGTAAATATTCTTAAATAAAATTAGCTTTTCTTTATATTATACTTAATTAATTTGAATAGGATAATAGGTAAATAAATAAAGAAAGTTTAATATTTAATAAGTTATATAACTATAATATAATATAGTTACTTAGTAAGTATTCTCTTATTAAGAGTTTTATATAAATACTATTATTAGATGCTGCTATAAATATTTTATATACTAAGTATACTATATTCTTTATATAAAATATATTAAGTAATTTAGATCTCTTATTAAGAGATTCTTAATATAGCCTTTATTAGTTTATATTATTTTAATTTAGAATAGCTCTAGTTTATGAAGGCATTATATTATTAGGCTATTTATATATATTATTTATATATATCTTTATTATCTCTTAATAATAGTAAAATATAATATTTTTATCTATATATTATCTAGAATTTATATAATCTAAAGGGAAGCTATTCTTATATAGTATAATACTTTCTTCTTTTAAGGTATATTAATTATATTATTTAGATAGAATATTAAATTAAAAATTATTTTTTATTAAATAAGTAGATAAAAAGAAGTTATTAGTAGATTAAATATAAGTCTTCTAAATAGTAAAAATTAAGCCTATATTACTAGACTAATTATTATTATTATATAAGTATAGAGAGTAGTATATTTTTTCTATCTCTTAGTAATATCTCTATAAGTAGGCTAGATATATCCTACTTATTAAGTTCCTAGGGATATTTAGGTATTATCTAGGCTATAAAATACTATAGGGAACTATATTATTTATATAAGTAATAGATTTATTAAGAAAAGTATATATATTTAATATTAAACTACTTAGTTTTTAATAAGATATAGATTCTCTTATTTCTACCCTATACTACTAGGCCTTAGTATTTAGAGAAATACTAATCTACTAGCTTATATAGTTATACTTATAATTTATAAGTTTATAACTTCTAAGTAGCTTATATATAATAATCTCTTAATAAGAGATTATAGTATAATAATTAAGTTATATATTATAATAAAATTTTTATATATAAAGTAAATACCTTTTAGATTATATTAATAGTAATAGGATTTATACTAAGAAGCCCTAATATTTAGTATAGTAATAGAAACTAGTATAGTAGTAATTATAGTATAGTAGTATAGAAGTTAATAAGCTATTAGTATATATTAGTAATAAGATTAATAGGTTTTTAGATTATAGTTTATCTATAATATTTATAATATTCTCTTAATAGGAGATTATTCCACCTACTAAAAGTAATATAGTTTAAAATTATATACTACTTATAGGTAAAAGAGATTACCCACAATCTAATCTATATAGATTAGAAGGTAGATAACTAAGGTCATGGGTTTCCCTAAACCTATATAGGTTGGGTTGAACCCCTTATGGATCAACCCATATCCACCCCACAGCCAGTCTAGTCTCGCCCCATTCGAGGGACGGGCCGTGGATGTCAGACCCATGCGGTCTGAAAAATGAGTTAAGGGTCAAGTTGATTTATGATGGTCAATGACACAAAAGGAGGCAGCATGTTTGATGTCCAGGCAACGATGGCAAAGATGTGGTTCAGATTGACTGTAAAGGAGTGGTGCTAGAAGACATACTGTTGTTTCAAGCGCCCAGCTAGTATGTACTATAAGAGATGCGTCAGGCTTTCTGGGATTCTTCTATTGCAGTGGTGCTTCTACGGGTGGTTATATGATCCCTCCTCCTCAGCATTCTACTTGTTGAGTTGGCAAGTTCTCCCAATATATAGAAATTGAGGGGACAAACAGCCGACATATACATATATAGCCTGAGATATTCGTCCAGGTTCCGTTCATGGGTGCCATTGTGTGCCTTTGTCAAAATGTGGCTTCTTAGTAGTTAATTGTAAAATATTCAGGTATTTGAATATTCACCTGAAGGCGCTGGAACGTAGGTGGCAAAGCGGCAGAGACAGACGCTGGCGTGGGTGAGCATGAACATTTTTATTTATTTATTTATTTATTTATTTTTTGGCTTCAATTCTTGATGTGTTTGGCTTGTTTTGATTCGGTTCCTGTTCTAGATGCAGATCAGTTACTTCCACAGCATAATAGGGTTTGTCTGGTGCCATGAACGGGTTCCGTGTAGACTTCCTACTAGGATCATGACGAAAGATCCGAGTCTTCCATCGTACCATAACAATTGTATTCCAACCAGGTACACCGCTGCTCGAATCACCTGCAGTGAATACATTGATCATTCTCTACCTGCGGAAATCAACATGCTGGAACTTTAAGTAGTAAAAGAGTCTCGTTCACCGCTACTCTACGCCTTCCTTCTATCTACCAGAAACTTTCCCATAACCATCTCCTCCTTCAAGTTTTCCATCATCGAGCAGCAGAAAGGTCCAATCTTGTCCTCTACAAGATCCTCACTGAACATACTACAGTCACAAATCATGTCTGACTCCAATCCCACCGAGCCACGCAAATGCCAGAGCTGCAAAAAGGCAGAATCCGAAAGTGCTCCCTTGAGGAACTGCTCCCGCTGCAAATCGGCCGTCTACTGCTCCCGCGATTGCCAGAAAGCCGACTGGAAAACTCACAAGAAAGTCTGCGCCAGCAATGCTCAGGCAAACACAGACTCCGGCAGCCAGGCCGCGACTGACACCAACGCCACCCAATCCAGCAAAGCCCTAGAGATCGACTTCCTGAAGCCGTTTCATCGCCTCCACGCAAAGACCTGGCTCCATGACCGCACCGAAAAGGATACCTACAAGTTACTAATCGACACCTATCGTCTCCGGCTAGACGACGACTACACGTTCACCGGGGATATTGACGCGGATAGCATCTATGGCGGGGCGACTGATGGCGGACGCGCTGGCTTCCGCCGCTTCCTGAAGCGCGTTGAACGCAAACCCGATCTCCTTCCGAGGTGGTGGACCCCAGCCAAAGCGGAGGAATGCGTCCGGTACGGCACGGATTCCGCAAACTGGAGCGATCTTGGATATGCGGTGGAGAAGCACGACGTTGTCGAGCATTACGGAAACCATTTGATGCCGATGCAGCTGCGCATGTTTGGCGAGCAGGTGCTTGGAACTGGACCCGGTGGGCAGAAAGGGGCTGCTATGATGAAGATGCAGATGGACATCGAGGGCGGAAGCGGCATTGTCTCCTCTCACCTGGACTTCCGCGACCTTTTAAGAAATTGATGGGGCGTTGTAGCTGTGGAGGGGCTGCCCAATCAGTACGTGGTTTGCAGACATTTACTTCGACGGCCTCCAACCGACGAATGTTTATTGGCACGTCGAACCTGTTGTTGCTTTCCTTCTCTGACTGCGCTGCTTGCGATCAGCATGACAATGTGGAATCCTTATCACATTTTCTGAGCACTGACGGAAAAAAGGCGTTGAGTATTGGAAGTTTGGAACTTAGAAATAGTGCCAGCGTGACTAGTGAATTTTAGTCTAGTTCTAGTTAGAATACCCACCTTTCTGGTGGCGGAATCGCAAAGGGTGGGGTGAAAAAAAAAAAAAAAAAAAAAAATGACCTACGCAGGGCTCGAACCTGCAATCTCTTGATTCGTAGTCAAGCGCCTTACCATTGGGCCAGCAGGCCTTGTTGAAGTGGCTGGTCCCTGTTTTGCTACATGTCCTGAAGGAGAGCACTGCACCCTCATGACCTTTGTTCAGAATATTTTCTACCTACTTGGTCTTCATTAACATGAACTTGCATTGTTTATTCAAATAGCAGTGCCTTGAATTCTTAATTTTTATCAGATTCTGATCCTCAACCGTGATTTTCAGTTTGCATGACTATGCACCTTAGTATACCAATGTTGTTTGGAAAATATATATTTTGTCGTACCTGAAACAAAAAAAAAACAAGATCAACAACAGCTGAGCTGTCGTTCCAGATAAACCACACACTGGCAAACCAGGCTGACGATGTAACATACCACAAGGAGACCGCTCAAACTATCAAGTAATTCGAGGGTTCCAAGATTCCTGTAGTCGGCACCTTCAAAGGTCGAATAGGATCTGGGGCAGCTCTCCAAAAAATATGAACACATACTTTCTAGTCACCGGCCTGGAGGGTTCGATGCTACTCATGATTTTAAACTGGTTACACAATATGACTGTTTAGTTAGAATATCAGCATTAAGGTAGTACATATCGCATCTCGTTTGCATATTCTGGGACATGTGTGCGACCCGAGTCCACGCATTGCGGCCCTATCTCTACAGCCATTGGCGTTTACGATATAATTCCTCGAAACTTCAGTTGCAGTCTGGTTATCTCAGGGTTTGGCTTACATGCCGCGATTGAAGGCACATGAAACTTTTTAAGTAGGCCACCGCGTCTCCGTCTCAACCTGATCGTCTAAAGGTGGTTAGGAAATCGATTGGTTGCGGTGCCTCGCTTGAATAATGCAATTGTGTAGCCTCCTGGCAGCGTCACCTCACTCCTTCATATTCAGACAGATATGCAATAGTATGATGGGAGGAATCAAAGGCCCTTTGAAGAACGAGTCTTTGAGATGGTCAATGACTGAATTACTCTATAGGAGTGAGTTCTTCTTAACTCTACTAGAAGAGCCAGATTCAAGAAGAGCGGTAGGTGCTGATAAATTTTTGACATGGCAGCAACATTAGAAAAAGCACCCAGTGAAGGGATAAAAAATCTTATGGGAAAGCCAGCAGCGGTGAGTATGGAAAGTAGAAAATCCCATATTGTATCATGGCTCTGAGTGGTAAAGTGCTGCCGAGGTACAAAGCAACAGAAGCAGACTCAAGTATACATCATGGTACCTACACGGTCAAAGATCCTCCAAATCTATAGCTTGCAGTTTGGCCACTGGCTATAAGGTCGTCGGTTGCGATCAAAGCACGGCGGAGATGGCGTGGTCTTATATCTAGACGCAGTGGAAAGAACCTATGCACCTCCATCTATTAGTAACATTGAACATAGTACAATTGATACACTATAGTAGCAGACAATGCAGGGTCGCAACAAACCTGGAGCACCGGTACCCTCTTACGTCGATTTGACAGATTCATACGAAGAATCTGATACCCTCAAGGTGAAATAGCTGCGCTGGGGATTAGACTCGGTCATATTATTGAGGACGATATGACTATGAGACGAGAGCAGAGAATGTATCTTCTCCGTGTGGTATCTGAAAACTCGCGGATGGCTGCCCATCACAGGTAACCAGGACAGCAGCTGAGCCTGAAGAACCGTGAGCTTTTCCATATGTACGGTGAGCCATCTCGGATCTTCGGATAGTGAGATTGCGTAGAGGTAACACCTCACTTTCGTAGAGATAACGTCCTGTTATAATAAGTACACATTCATTCCCTCAAATCTCTGTGCGAAATAGACACAGGCATCTGTCGTGAATGGCTCTCCAGAGTGATCGAGAGGCAACATTGGTTGTAGGAATGCCTTACGAAATGGACCTAGGAGTGAAGAGAGCAAGAAGAATTTTGTTGCGTTGTCAGAAAGGGAACAAGCTGGCTAGCGCTCGCTCTGCTCGCTCCAGCTTCGGCTACGCTGAATTACACTTGGGGTCTTGGGCAGAGTTCACTGTGGTTCGGACCTACGGCCCTCACCTTAGGTAACATGAATTCTCTAGTAGGGAAATCAAATCATTATGTAGTATTAATATTAAATTATCATCTAGTAGAGAGATATTAATATTAAATTCTTATATTACAGGGATATTAAGTTATTATCTAGTAGGGATATCAAATGCCATCTATTATCTAGTATTAACTGTATTATTAATATTGAATTCTTATCTAGTAGGGATATCAAATCATCAAATTATCAAATCATTATCTAGTATCAATATCTAATTCTCAGGAGGTAGGACCTTTAGGGGCCTTAGAAAGGTGGTAGGAAAATACAAAATTAAGGCCTGAAATAAGAGGCATAAAGGCTAAACCCAAAGAGTCAATTTCGCGAACAAAAGCTGATTATTAAGTGATTATTAAGTAACTATTAAGCAGTATCCACTGTTATTTCTTTATGATAATATATAGGGGAGGATCTGCAGTCAATGGATGTACAGATAATTCATCCCCAGAGGACTGAATCGCCAAAGGACTGCAACAAGAGTTGATAAAGCCACAACTGGTGATACAGCGACCAGAAAGTCAAGTTCTTCAAGGTATGACCAACACCGGCGTCTCGGTGCTTCTCCCGGCCTCTACGGATGTCCTACTGAGCACGACTATTAGGCGGGCTATCGCCACGTGCAAATTAGCCTTTCGGTCTGCCGCTGGTATTTATAGTAAAAGCACAGCTATAGGCACGTTTTCTGCAGTTACAGCATAAGTACTGTCTTTAAGACACCTTCCGAGACAAAAAAACTAGATCTCTTTGCGCAGTTTTGCAGCTGTCCAGGTAGCCACCGTTAGGGCGAAATGTTGTTGCACCTGAAAGTCGAAAATGGATGCGTTTTGTCGCCCAGAATCGCTAGCTCTCTTAAAGCCAGTATGATCAACGAGTACTCTGTACAATTTCTTCAGGATTGCCTAGTACTTTTTCCTCTTGTGGCATATGCACCAGGTTGTGACGTGTAAGACAGCTAAGACAGCATACCGCAGTATTGCCGGAGAGAACGTTGAACTGACATAACTATCATGTAAATAATGAGATTAGAGACATTCTGATTCTCTAGAATACTTTTAGTCAATATTTCCGGTACTGACGTTATGTTGAGGTCCAAGACTATGGCTGATGATCAACGCGTTGGATAGCTAGGACCAGTAGGATGTCTCACTCTCCGGGAACGCCTCGGTAGAACATTGGAAATTCTACTAAACCCTATCTTTAGGGAGTGGCGGTGTAGCACTGTGGCCCGGTATTCAAGTTTAATATCAGACCTGTCCCAGCACCAAGTCTATTCCACAGTTTTCGCAGTGATCGATTTCTGGGGACGAGGAAACTTCTAATCTATTAATCGCGCCGCCGCTTGGGCAGGAGTGGGCATTAGCCACCACTTAGGGGCCTAGGGCATCTCGCGGTAGTCCCGTTCCAACCCCAAAACCGATGTCTTAAGGGCAATCAGTTCCATGGCCTCTGATTGGGTCCGATTCTCCTATTGTGGGGAGCTCGGAGAAACATGTGGAGTTACTGAATAGAAGGGTCTGCAATGTATTGCCACTACTATAAACGTCAATCATGCCATTGCCTTGCGGGATTTAGGTAGTAAAAGTGATGGAAAACTGTCTTCAAGGTGTAACAGTCATATTTTGTGTGTTTTGTTCTAGGACGTGAGATTGTATGTCAGGATAAAATGACAATAATAACAGAGTATAGATATGCTCATTAAGGACCAGAGACCCATAGCAACTAGATTAACTGGGGACCCACTATTGAAGCCATCTGAAGAACCAAATATAGTCATTGGTTAATGGAGCACGGAAGGTATGACCACATCTCCAGCGCGGAATTAGGCTGCATGTCTTAGACAGTTGCTTGGCGGTGTTGGCGCAGTCACTGCCTTCGTATCTTCGTATCCTGGGCATGGAAACGCTCGGATGTCGAGGATCTCCTTGAAGGTATAAAAGGCTCAATGCTACCCTTGTCTCTCTGACATTCATCATCAACAATAAATCAATCACTCAAACACTCTACAAACCACATAAAATGCAGATCAAGAGCTTCATCCTCGCCGCTTCGGCCGCTGCCACTGCCTCCGCCGCCGCCTGCTCTGCCCCTACCAACAAGTACTTTGGCGTCGTCTCCATCCACCCTGGCAGTGCCGTCCAGTATCAGTCCTTTAACGCTGCCAAGAGCAGCATCTTCGCTGGCCTCAACTCCCAGAACGCCACCTGTGACCGCCCCAACGAGAAGAGCGCCACTTTCTACATCGACGACGGTTCCCTGTACCTCTATGCCGCCTCTGCTACCCCCCAGGAGATCTTCGTCGACCGCTCCGGCATGGGTAAGTCACGTCCACACACTCAAAACGTGGAAAAAAGCAGAAACTGACAGGAACTCTACAGGCCAGGGTAAGATCGGCTACACCACCGGCCCTCAGCCCGCCCCCAAGAACTCCGAGCGCAAGGGCTGGGCCATCAACGACCAGAACCACCTCCAGTTTGCCGGCAATGACCTGATCGCCTGCCCCAACAGCATCGACGGTGCCTGGAGCATCTGGGCTGCCGGTGTTGCCAACCCCGCCGGCAACAAGGACTGCGTCGGCATCGCTGCTCGCGTCGAGGATGTTGCCAACCCTAACAGCTGTGTTTACACCCAGTAGATGAGAACGTGAGCTGGGTCTTGCGGTCTACTCATATACAGTCATTTGATTTGAGCGTTGCTTTTAATCTCTGTTACTGTTGCAGCTCTTAATCGAGTCCAGTGTTTTCCTGGCTATATCACTCCTTTTACAGTATATAATATCACTATTTGAAATATAAAACATATGTTTGGTGCATCAGCCAGAAAAACTCCTGAAATTCCATTATTATAACTTTCTCAAGGATAAGATACTGAAGAGGATGCTCTCCTGTTGTAGGTTCTGAAATGATCATGTGAGATGCCTTAACGCCAATCAGCTATGGAAGCGCTACCACATGCCCCTATTACTACGCATAAATAGTGTGCCTACCGCTGTTACCGTCGGCATGTTTGATGCTGAGCCTGTCAATACGCTACAAAGTATTGCAAATGGGTATAATTTCGGGAGAGCCATCATTCCATTAAGCGAAAGCTCCTACAACTATCAGCTACTTGCACACTCGACACTCGATCACTCTGCATCCCCAATAGGTTGTCTCCCTTCGCACACAACAACACCGTATCACGTCTGTCAGTAGGCCTGTTAACCCGCCACAGCGAATAACGCCTTTCATGACTCTCAGACGTTCCAGGACCGCAAGGGCATCCGAAGGCCCCCTCGTACAGGGCCAGCAGCGGATTACAGCGTGCATGGACAGCCAAAAGGATCCCAAGCTCTACTGAGAGAGTACTTGGCCTGGTCCTGGAAAGCTATCCAAGCCATCGGGCAATCCGGTGCCGGTCCCGCGCGAGGAGGCCCTTGGGTGCCCTTGCGGTAAGTAACAGATATCGAGTCACGTAAACTCGTATTCGCTTCGTTCACGCGCAGAGATAAATTCACACTGGCCATCCTAGGTTCAGGATGGCCATGACAGCTCGGACAGCCTGGACATCCATCCCGCTATCGAGATAGACGGCGCCAAGGATAGCCTCCACGGTTTGAGCCATCACGCCCGGGGACACACTGGCCTGAGACGGATTGATGAGAATGAGATTCTCCAGTCCAGCTTTGGAGCCCGTCTGTGCGAGATGGGGGTTGCTGCCCACCGACGAGACTACCTGGTTGATATAGCCTGGTGATTCGGTCAGTGGTCCATCTCAGGAACATTTGTGAGGGGCAACTAGCCTCGACCGGCTTTGGCTTCGTAGCCGTCCATCACGAGAATCAGCCGCAGGACCGCATCGCCGATTTGCGCTAGGTCCTTATTGCCGTCGGAACGATATGCTAGTCCGGGCATGGCAAGCGCGCCGGCACTACCGAGAGCTTCGTAGAGGATTGCACGATTGGTGAAGTCGTAATAGATAATATCCTCGACGGACTCAGCCCTTTCGTCAAGCGACATGTGAGACATGGCCATGGTTGATGAATGGAAAATGTAATCGTGTATTGGATGACGCGGATTAGAATGGTGAGTGTTGAAAAGAGAAGTAGGGGCACATAAGATGAAAGATGAAGCAAGAGAAGATGGAAAAAAGAGGGGAATGGATACCTATTTATCTACGCCTCTTCTATAGTCCTGTGTGATGTAAGAACTGCGGCAGACGCTGCGCCGCAATACCAGGCATACTCCAAGGCGTATCGCCTTCATGATGCAGGCGGTTGTCGATTGGCTATGCCATGGCTCTGTAAACCGTAAAACCACTCAACCCGAAGGCGTCTAGACACGATCTTTAGCGTAATAGGAATAGTAGGTAGTGAACAAGCTCGATGGAAGTGAGTTCTGCAATATGACCGCGGAACAAAAAGTCGGCCCACTATACGCAGAAGAGTCAACCATTTTATACGTCCTCTGTAAATGGCCAGCCACTACTTGATTCTTGGTAGTTGATACGTCTAAATGACGGTCCGGCCATAAGCAACCGGACTCTGTCGGCACGAACCACGGTCGAAGTATGCGAGCGGGACCAGCCGCAGCAGAATGCTTCCATAGGTACACTCTGTCTGACTCTCGGCAGTATCATCTAAAGGCAAGTCAGACAAGCTCCACCAAGACATCTGGTACGGCTGACAGCTATTCATGTCAGTACTATTCGGCCGGCCGCAACTGAGGTACCACGGTCGTCTCTTGATGTATTGGCATAAAGGAATGGCTTTTTTCTTATTCTTTAGCTTAATCAATGCAAAATAACGTCATTTAAGACCCTTTTCACTGAATCCTTATCTAAATTGGCTACCACAGATATCACACATACCTGGTGGTGTGGTTGTCCAGCCAGTGCATGCGATTACACCGTAATTGTGTAAGACGACTGCTTCGTATACTGTCTACCAGTCATCAATTCATCATCAACACTGCAGTGTCTCTCGCTTCATCGCAATCTGTTGTTGCCCTCCTCAACACGATTTTTCTATGAGATGGGGGTTTATCTTATTAAAAAACAGCCCCAGATTCAAGATAACAAGGACGCTCTCCAAAGTCCGACAGGTAACTCGTTCATGGTGAACATTATGCTACATTCAGCCCTACCAATGGCAGCAGCTCTGGTTAATTCACTCCAAATTGTTCCAGATATGGTACCTACGGTAGAAGCGTACCAAACAGGAAAGCTTTGTGTATTGTCACTGTGGATGCCATCACCGTCTACGGGTCCGGCTCGGCAGACTCTTCAAGATCGAAGAGAAAGTTGATGGGTTTCTTGAATTATATCAGGAAAAGCGCACTTCGTCGCAGTACTCGATCCTCGGTCAGGTTTTGACCGCGGACGATGTCATGGACATGGTGAGATTTCACCTCGCAATTGTCAAGCTCTTTTACGCCAGTATACCTAGCGACTGGACAACAATCTGGCCCCACACCGCTGCTAGGCAGGCTAGGCCTAGGTAAAGTGCTGTAAGCTTATTAGAAAGTATGGAGCAAAGAAAGGCCATATTATTACCACAGGCAGCCGAAGCAAGACCATACCTTGAATAAGAGGGAATAAGGAGTAGGGACCCTAGCATCGGATTTGGTGTTGATAAGAGCACTAGGTTCGAGCATGATGAAAGAAAGAGACTTGGAAGTAGGCTTTTCCACATGTCCATTGTATACTCCGTCGAAACGCTGTCTCCCAGTGAGCGCAACTTTCCTCATACTATTAGAGTCACGTGAAAGGATAAGTGCAACGAGGGATTTGTGCCGCCCTCAGCAGGAAAACAGAAAAATCATGTGACATTAACTGTTATGAACCAATGGCATAATAGGTATTGAAGCATTATTTGCCAAGATTGAGTCACGTGGAGTTGTGCCTCTTGATTTTTTTGCCCGCGGGTAAGAACTACTCCGGCACCACAGCGCGACTCTTATTAAGAATATCCCGTTCTCAGCTGGGTTGATGTTAGTAAGCTGATTTGCAGGCATCGCCCCCGCGCTGGCTGGCCTTCCTTAACCGATCGCGGACGCGGGGAGCCGTGTGTCTGCCTGCCTTCTCAGGCCAGTGAGGGAGACGGAAATGCATATCTGCCAAACGTCCCAGTTGACCCGGCTGATCGATTCTTAGGCTCAGCTGGCGGCCGCCGGTCGGTTCTTAGATTTGATCGTCGCTAGAATGGTGGAGTCATGCAATCGAAATTCGTTTGTGAATCTCTCGGCATGTAGCTACCGTGCCTGCTATTTATCTGACCCCGACGCAAGGCGGGGCCCCTCGTGAACCCATGGGCTAGGAGCCGACCGTATTTGCCGTCGCCATCTGACCTCCGCCAGTATCCAGACTCACCATGCCTATTAGAATGTTTATAAGAGTATTGATGCCTTTCTTTAATTTCTCCAGCAATCATCCTTCATCGATAATTTACTCCATCCCTGCAACTTCTCCAGTCCTGTCATTTCGACCCATCTTCATATACATACAAATACACAATGTCGCCCAAGCGCCAATTCGACCCCAACTTCACTCCCTACGTCATCAACTCTATGGGACCCAGGACCCCCGAGCGCGCTCGCGTCGTCTTGGGATCTCTGATCAAGCACATCCACGACTTTGCTCGTGAGGTCGAGCTAAGTCCCGCCGAGTGGATGCTCGGTGTCGAGTTCATCAACTCTATCGGCAAGATCAGCACTCCTGTGCGCAACGAGTGCCACCGCATTTGCGATGTTATCGGCCTTGAATCGTAAGTACAGCGACGCAGCAATCAAAATTTCAGAAGATGAATGCTGACTGAGTCGATCAGCCTTGTCGATGAGATCGCCAACAAGATCGTCACTGACGAGGGCCTGACTCCCACCTCCAACGTCATTCTCGGCCCCTTCTGGTCGCCCAACGCTCCCTTCCGCAATCTCGGCGACAGCATCATCCAGGATCCCAACCCCAACGGCAAGGTCACCTTCATGCACGGTGTCCTGACTGATATGGAGACCGGAAAGCCCGTCGTCGGCGCAGTCCTCGACATCTGGCAGGCCTCCGCCAACGGCCAGTACGACTTCCAGGACCCCAATCAGAGCGAGAACAACCTCCGCGGCAAGTTCAGATCGAACGAGAAGGGCGAGTTCTACTGGTACTGTTACCATCCTACCCCTTACTCTCTGCCCACCGACGGTCCGGCCGGTGTTCTCCTCAATCTCATGGATCGCTCTCCCATGCGCCCCGCCCACATTCACCTCATGATCACCCACCCCGACTACGCCACCATCATCAACCAGATCTACCCCAGCGACGACCCGCATCTCGACATCGACTCGGTCTTTGCTGTCAAGGATGACCTTGTCGTTGATTTCAAACCCAAGACCGACGATCCCAAGGCCGAGCTCGACCTCGAGTACAACGTCAAGATGGCCTTGAAGAAGCACCACCCCAACCCCAACACCGCGCCCCCTGTTTCGTCCTTCGAGCGCTTCAACAAGGGCCAGAAGCTGTGAGGAAGTGTTTGAATGATTGATGCATCTTTTCAATTTCTCTACTGTAGAAACAGGGTGGCGCCGCCATCGCCAGAGCAATCCGACTTCTCCTAGACGGTGTGGTCTGAACTCCTGTTTTCCATACCTTACCGCTGTACATATTATTGTT